ACTGTTAATGGGACACTGCATGAGTCATTTTCCAAAATTAAGGCCTTGATAGGAAACAAGAAACGTATACTGCAATGTACATAAAACTGATGTGTCAAGGCTGTGATGTGTCAATCCACAGACAGTGTCAAGAGTTTGCTTTCTTCTTTCTTGTGCCTGGATTCTGGCATCAGGCAAAACATGGTCATGAAAACTCCAGGCTTCTTCAGAAACAAGAAAGTAAATAAAGAGGAAACTTAAAAAAAAAACAATACATCCAAAATACCTTTTCAGTTGGAAAATATGGCACAGTTTCCTCATCACCATCTTCAACAGGAAGCCCTCCGAACACCACATTTACTGTACTGGTGTATACCAATCTAGCAATGTTCCTTTGCTTGCAGGCTGCAGCAGTGTATAAGTAAATTAGTTTAGTGGAAAATTAAACAATATGGAAAAAAAAATCTTAAAAGGGCAAATCCTTCCATTTTATGATTGCGTTATTTAAAATGTGAAGCATATTTAGAGGGAAGACATCGGTGTAGAATGATTAAGGTTGGAAGGGACCTTAAAGATCATCTAGTTCCACCCTTCTGCCACTGTCAGGGACACCTTCCATTAGACCAGGTTGCACAAAGCCCCATCCAACCTGGCCTTAAACCCTGCCAGGGAAGTAGAACCAAGTGTTTTATGATCTGGCACATCCCCATTTGGATGCTGTAAGCCAACATCGTGCCTCTGGGAGGGCTGCTGCCAGCCCACTGAGACAGGCTTCAGCTCCAGCCAGGCAGGTGGCTGGAGTCCACCCCCTGCAAGGGCTGCCCGCATCCTGTGCACAAGCTGCTAGAGAGCAAGAAGGTTTACTGCTACAAAATACACATGGCAGTAGTTAACTCCTTACATGGATACAGATTCCGACATCAGGGCGAGCGCTGTTACAAAAAGCTGAACTAGTTAAGCTACCCAGTGCTGGCTCTCCTGTCACACCTCATCAAAGAATCGAGCATAACCTCCCCACCCCCATGATATTTTCCTTCATTTTCTGCCAAAAATATGAAGTATTTGGTAAAGAATAGCATGTGCCAAAAAAAGCCAGCTGGCTTTTTCTAAGTGCTGCAGTATTTTGATGTGCTATACTAACACCCAGTGGCAAAATTAGATACATACCATTAATGACGAATCTTGTTCCATGGATATTTACAGTTTCAATCTCTTCTCTGTGCAACTAGTAAAATAAAGAAATTGTGCATTTACACATTGTGACCTTACACCTAGGAGTTCCATGTGGCAGCTTTAGGGTTTTGGAGGGAACCAGCCTCGCTTGTCTTTCCTTTTGTCTTCACACTATTTCAGAACTCTTCAATGCCATTTCCAACTCAAAAAACCCTCCCATGGTGCTCATGGAGCCTCTAAGGGGGAGGAAATGATTTCACAACTAGGAAAACAGTCCTGTAAGCAGGCTGCTGGCAGCTGGCACACCAGTTTGCACTGACCAATTTACCGAAACAGCATGATATGGATTCAGGCTCTCAGGATAATCTGAGGAGATGAAATCTAACATGCAGTGTTACAGCGTCAAGTCTCTCATCCTCAGTGTGGGCAGTCACACAGAAATAAAAAACCCAAACCTGTTTGGACTCACTTGCTCTCTTCCTGACATTCCATATGATGCTACATGAAACACACAGTCAGCCCCTTCAAAGGCTGCAAATAGGGCATCATAGTCCCTGACATCTGCCTGTAATACATAAGAAAAGATATTTGGACTTGAAATCAAAGCTGCAGGTTAGTGTTTGTCATACACAGAGGGAATGTGTATGTGTAATTGTACTTACTGTACATTCCAGGCCCATTTCAGTTCTTGCTGATAATTATAATTTTCTTTCATAGAACTCAAAGGAGTTGAGTTCTGTGAAACTTTAAAAACATTCAGTAAGCCTCATAATCTTCCACTTGTGGTCATTCTACAAGTGCTTAAACTAAGGGCAATACTTCAGAGTCAGGAGGTGGAGCAAGTACTTTGTGCTACACGTTACCAGTTTCATTGCTTTGCTTATTTCACATACACTAAAATCAACTGACCAAAAATCATGTGGGATATTCACACAATTAAAAGGGTTATTGAAATTTGCAATTATTTGCAATTGGGTATTTGGGTTCTGGGAAAACTAATAAGACATTGTGGAAAAGGCAAATGAACTAACTTTGACTGTTACGGAAATGTAATTGATCATACCTGGATAAACACTACTCCACTAGGGATTTCCCAGATAGGCTTTTGTATGTCATACAGAACAACAGAAGCTCCTCGGCTGGCAAGAGTACATCCCAGCTTGCATCCAACATAGCCTCCGCCTCCTGTCACCACTGCTCTCATCCTGTTTTCATTCAGTGCTCCAGCATATCCATTCACTCTGGAGTCAGAGGCTTGGTGCCAGCGTGTTGCTACTCCACTCAGTATGTTTGCCCTCAGTGAAATGCTGTCTGCTATTAGCAGACACGTGTAGCAATTTCTCCTGCATGTTGAAACTGCTCCATAGTGCTCATGGATGCAGACAATCCCAGTGAGTTTCATGTTAAGAAGCTCTATTCACAGCAGCAAAGTTTTAGTTTAATGCAACCTGTTTACGACAAAGACAAGAGCAAAACAATAGCTGCAACATGTCCACATTTCAAAGATTTCTTTTAAAAGCCCCATTTCAATGTTCTGCTTTGATGTTTTTAGAGTTTGCTTAACAATAATTTCCACATTTTACGAACATTTGAAATGTCTGTTTACTAGATATGAAAGACAGAATCCTGAGGCTACATAACAAAGGTTGCCTGTTTTAGACTAAATATTTATTTGCAAATGGAATCCAGAATAATAAACTAAAAATAATTAACAAAAGGTCCTAATGCAGAGAACATGAATCCAAGTATTTCCTACAGATGGGTCAGAATTAGAATAATGGTACAGAGCATAACTTTTTATTAGCAGAAAAGAAATTGCTGCCTACGTGAAATGCATCTGCTTGCCCTAGTTCATTCTACTCTGCGTCACAAGCTCCGAGACGGCCTTTAAGGGTCAAATGTCATAGAGGGCCACACCTGAGCTTGAAATCCTGAACTGTCAGGAAAACTCTGAAGATGAACAAATTGCATTTAAGCTTCTGTGCTTAAAAAACAAGCAAGCAGGGCTGAGCAGAGCAGAATGTCCCCTAGAGCAAAATAAACCTTCAGTGCTTCTTCCACTGGTCCCAAAGACATCTGTCTCAAAGACATCTGAGAAAAGTGGTATTTCAGCTCCTAAGTAGCAGCAGCTAAATGTAAATTGAGAACACACAGTGGTTTTACCATAGACAGTGATGGAATTGAGGTGCATGAGGATTTCAGAAGGAAACGGGAGTGCCTGATGCTTAGAATTTGAGAACACAGCTTTTGGGGGAACTAGAGTGAATGAACTGCTACATGACACAGAGGGACAATGAGTACAGTAAGAGAAAGGCAATAGTGAGCCATTTACTTCTAGAGCATGGAGCTTCTTTCCCTCTTCAATGGTCAAGGGTTCATCGCTGAGAGAGGAGGCATTCAGAGGCTGCAGATACCGGTGTTTCCTCACCCTTCCCATGCCGCAATAAAACATTAAGTGTCACCGGAGCTCCTCCAGCTATTCTCTGCATCTCACTTGCAAATCCCTCAGGGAAACACGCCGCCGACTGAGCTCCGGACCGGGACCGGTTCCCCTCCCCGGCTTGGACCGGCCGTTGGGACTGTTGCCCGCCCCGCTGGGGCTGCGGGGCTCGGCCGGGCCGGGCCGGGCCGGGGCGCGAGCGGCGGCCCCTTGACTCCCACCCTGCAGGAGAGGGGCCAGGCCGGGCGCTCACCTCCACCGCCATCCCCCGCTGCTCACCCGCCGCCTCGGGGAGCGGGTGCTGCGCGGGGGGCTCCCTCCGCACCCGGGGGCCACTCAGCCGCAGCACCGCCGCCATCCCCCCGTGCTCGCAGGCGGGGGTCCCGCGGCACCCCCGTGTCCCGCTCATTTGAAGCGTCTTTGGGACCCCAAACTCTTCCTGAGATATTGCCTATCCCACAGCACCCGTGGGAGCCCTGGGATTCCATAGCAAGCCTGGCTTCCCAGAGCATCCCTGGGATCCCACAGAATTACCTGGTGGCTCTTACCTCCTTGTGTCTTCATACAGCCGCTGCACTAAGGCATCCTAGCAGTAACTGGAGCTCCATCCAACTGAGATACCTGTTGAACAGGTTGCTCAGGAGAATAACCACCACGTCTTGATTGCCGGCTGGATAGTCGGCAGGACATAGCTCAGAGAGGTGCAGAGCATCAGAAACACCTCCAAACCAGCAGGAATTCCCGAAGAGGAAACATGATCATGAACAAGTAGGCACGAAGGTCCCTGCCCTCCCCAGCCGGTGGTGGGTCTCTGTGCAGCTCTGTGGTTGCTCGTGCCTGGGAGGATGCAAAAAAGGGTCAGGAGCTGCAGAACTTGAGAGTTATCCATTCCAGGCAAAAATTAAACCTTGAACATGTTTACCTCCTCTGTTATAGCTGTGCCATGTCTCAACGTTCATATTAAATTTTAATCACTTAAAGACACATTTGCAATTATGTTAGAGCAAAAGCAACTTGAACAATATCCAGCTTAAACTAACACTCAGGAAAGACTGTCAGAAATTAAGACAACTGGCTGTTCCAAACAGGTACTAAAAGCTGTCTTAAAACTTCAAATACCAGATTTGTAATTGATAAATCAGTTGAATGAAGCCTGTAATAATCAGTATTGTTATGACAACTGGCTGTTCCAAAGAGGTACTAAAAGCTGTCTTAAAACTTCAGATACTGGATTTGTAATTGATAAATCAATTGAATGAAGCCCGTAATAATCAGTATTGTTATAACAGTGATATAATATACACCTTACCTGAAATAACACATCGGAGATTTGGTATTGCAGGACTGGAATGGTGCTGGCCTTGCAGCCACAAAGCCAGAGAGTTCTTTGGTTAGGCCTTATTGAGGGGCACCCATGAAAAGGCCACAGCCTGCACTCCCACTGGGCTGCAGCCAACTGCCTGATGTCTCTGCTGAAAGCTGTTGGTGTAATCTGGGATGTAAGCTTGAGCTATTAGTTTAATAAAAGCAATATATGAAAGATTCATAAATAACTGATTTAAAAGCAAGTTGTATGTTTGCATACAGTTAAAATGCTCACACTGGGATGTAACTTGACACTTGTGATTTTCTATTCTGCATTTCTAGGGAACATAGGCTTATGCATTGCCTCCTGCAGTGCTCACTTGTCTGTCAGTCAGCTGCACCTCTCTACTGATAAATCGTGAACTTATCTGGTTTTGATTAAACTTGGATAAAGGTCTCATATATAGCAAGTTTCTTTAAGATTCCTGACAATAGCTAGCAAGGAATAGAAGACAGCTGAGTAGTGCCCCTGCTAAGGGAAGATGCAAGCTAATTTGTATGGATGAGGACAATCTTCGAATGCTCATCCACAATAGACCAGGCTTTACTGCTTTCTCTGCAAACAGAACTATTTGTTTAAAGAAAATGAGAGTAAAACAAATCTTTGCTCACATAAGCTGCAGTGGTAATTGTGGTTGCTCACACATTTTCCTGTCAACGTGTATCATCTTTCACCTATAATGTTTTATTCTTGTAAGGTTCCTGTTAGGTTTCCTGTAAATATAAAGATACAATGAGAGAGTCTCCATAAACTAACTTACTGGCCTTAAAAGTCCTGTAAAATGCAAGCGGAAAGACAAAATAAATACAGAGTGGAGATTACCAGATGGCAGAGCTTTTTCATTGCTCTCTTCTGTGACCCACCCCAGCAAGTCCCCCCCTCCTGATCCCTTTGGGGTGCAAGACGGGGAACAGCTGCTCCTGGGTGAGAGCAAAGCTGGTCCCTGAGAAACTCCTTGTGACAGGTAACCTTATGGAAATCCATCTGGGCTACACACAGTATGTGTACATGGGGTGCACAGGTAGCTCACATGAGACAATCCACCCAAGTAGTAACTAACCTAAGTCTTAAGAAAGGGGAAAAGAGAGAGGCTGGATCCTCACTCAGGTCTTAGTGCTTGGCTTGCCTGCTCATCCTGAAGTGGCAATTTCTTGATCAAACAGTGTGCTAGCACTGGTGCAGGGTTATGGATAGTCAGACCTGGCTTCATTTACATGGCAAGGTAGCAGTGACAGTGTGCTGGACTCCAAGCTCTTATGTGCCCTCCTCCCTCCCCCTTCCCACAGGCTCCTTAAAACAAGTATTTGGTTCAGTGATTATTTATTATTGCACTGAAAGGGTATTACTTAATTTACAAACATATATAATTTATTACATTTTTACAAAGCTTTTGAACAATAAAACTATTTTACATAAATATGACTTTCATCCTCTCACCACCTGTCATTTATAAATCTTTACTTCTCATATTGTTCGTACTATTACCCAGGTCTTCATAATTCCTCATACTAACACAGTAGCTGTAGCAGCGACTTCGTTAGAGGAGTTTAGTCAACCTTCTCTTCATTGGAGCTACTGGACTTGGTCCAGCACTGCAGTCCCACAATGGTTCCTCTTCTTCCAGTTTCTTACCCTCCAGAATTATCATTTTCAGAAGAATCATTCTCAGCATAAAGCAATCAATTAATGAAAATCTATTAAAACAATTCCTGCACCCATTAGTGGTGAACTCCTTGCATTTTGTGACACTGTTGTTCTTTGGGAACAGTTCCTGATGGGTCCTGTGTTTTCACTTTTGTGGGGCTGGTTTGGTTTTAATGAGATCAGAGAGATGTCATCTTAAGAACAATAAAGGCCATAACGATTGAGGAATATACTATGACCAGATCATTAATAATCAGAAACAAAAATAGTTTTTTTTGGAACTGTTTTTTTGATTTTAGAAGAAAGAAAGAATGATCAAACTTAACAAAATGCCAAAAGCAAACAGCATTTTAAGGCACATGTGATCTTCCTGGCAAGTAGGTCTTGTTTTAATATAATGATCCACAGAATCAGCAAATGAGAATTGCTTTGGTTTGTAGCCAAGCTGATTTCGTGCCTTGTCTATTCGGAAAGTATGAGTTACAGTAACGTTCCACACCTAAAAATCAAAAAAGACAGTTACGGAAGTGACTTTAATATCTGATTTTCTAGAACTTGGATGAAAATACGTCAACAATGATATTACAATGGAATTAAAACAAAAAATATAGACATGCAAAAATGTATGCATTTTGGAGCTGGATTCTATCTGGAGCTAACAGAATGAGTTGATGCAGCTAACAGGTAGAGATAAAACTCAGTAGATGGAGCGCAGGAGGAGTTTATGGTACTGACTTCTCACTTGTGAATGTGAGATAAAGGACTAAGGAAATCCTGTGCAACATATGAGCACCCTTCCCTCAAACTGGCTCTTCTGCACAGAGAAATGCGCAATGGAACTAGATGAATGATCACAGGAGAGTGGTGTGGTTTCTCAACTCTGCAGAAATGCATTATCTGTGAGTGGAAAGCACATGCTTTGGGGAGTTACATCCTCCACCTCTGAATGCCTGGTACCTGTGAAAATGCTTAAGTTGCATTGTCTCAATGATTTCTGCTTCAGATATGCAACTAATGTAGAAGTAAGTGCAAAACCAGATATACTGTGGAATAACTGAAAATCTATAGCAGAAGTTAATGAGGTCCCTTCAGTGTCCTATCATGTTACAATACAGTAAGAGACTAGATGATGGATTAAAGCATTTTGGCTTACATTATAAATCATAATATTGTATAAAAATGTAAGCTAGATCAAAATTGATTTGTCCAGAAGTTGTTTGTTTTTTAGAAAAGTGACTTTTCATTCCAATTTAGAATTATTTTTGGTGGACTTCCGAATTGTTGGCTAGCCTGGTACTATGATAACTGCTACCACTTTGACCTGAGACTCTTGCTCTGTGCTCTTGGACCACTTTTCTTTAATAAGTAGTTCCACAGCATAGGACAGCTCATTGGAAACAGCAATGTAGGGTCTGTTTTCCTCTTTGTGCCAGGTCTGTATCAGTTGCTCTGTCTTGCACCTTTAGGGTGTTTCCCTGGATCATCAAGTAAGCATTAACTTCTGACAATTTTATAAGGGGTGGCTGTAGAAAAATCAGGCTACAAATGAACTGTGTAAGCCCTGGATGGACTTTGCCCTGAGCAGAAAACCAGAGCTCTACTGCAGACAATCCTGTCTGCGTCCAAAGGATGTATCACATAACTTCACAAGACTTTTTGTCAGAGATATAGAAACATTCTCTATTTTTATATATTTACCTCATTCCTTGTCAAGAAAGGTGTAAAGCTAAAAACAGGCTTTAGTATCACATGCAGATACTCCATCACAGTGGCTGTGAAACAAAGTTACTCAATGAGACAGCTGGATAACAATAAAATGAGATGACAGCAAATAGAATAAGTGTCAGCAAATGCTGACACTGCACATCCTATAATTCCTACAGGTATCAGAGAAGGCAATTAAGGTGGTAGAAGGCAGTATTTAATTTATAAAGTACATGATGGACTCAGCTTATTTAAACTTTATCTGGTATAATTAATGCTAAATGGCAGAAGTGATTATTATTAATTAGAATAATGTTAAGTTATATAATTCCCACAGTTTGGGTCCCTGCATTTTATAAAACCATTATGTAGCTTTACAGGAATAAGAATACAAATAAAAAGCACAATAATTATGTATTTTATTATTTTTACCTGCTATATGAACGAGGAGAACGGGAATATGTATCCAGGGTTTCCTGTAGCCTAATTTTTCAAACTAGAAGGGATATAAAAGGAAAGACAATCTGAGAATTTGTACCAAATTGTGGGTGTCAATGACTGTTGATAAAACATGTATCTAAACTTTTCCAGCTCATCTTCCCCTCAATAGTGTTAGTAAGAAATGCGATTGAAACCCACTACTCACATTTCCGGTGCCCACCTCCCTCCCACCCTTTGAATGCTACTGGAAAGTAAAGGGGAAAAAAATGTTATTTCCAAGGAGCAAGTGACCAAGACTGGAATACTTCATTACAGTTGGATACAGGCCCATCTACTGCAATAATTTTCCTGGAAGGTTTTTACATGTTGGTATTGCAGGATCAAAAATCCAGCATGGTGCCAAAATCCAGCCTGATGTTTATGAAAATATCATGTTGCCTCTTTTTAGCTTTTAAGATATGACTTTAAATAGTATTTCCTTTTGTGCTGCAGTTGATGGCAGAACAAAGAAATAAACAACAGTTATAGAAGGCCTGCCAGAGGGTAATAGTGGAACTTCTCACACACTGTGAGCTTGATTTACAGAAATGCTGCTGTTCCATAGTAGGTTCTATACCTCTCAGCTACATTCTCTCAAAACAATAAGGGCCCAACTCCACAGTTACACATACCCAAAACTTCCCTTCAAGCCAGTGGAACTTTGGGATATGCAGGGAGAACAGGATTGACTCTAATGTTAAGTAATTCAGTAATTAACGTGCACTGAACTTCATTTAGTTAGTATGGTCTTCTAGCTAACCATGTGAATAGTGCCCATACAGTGCATTAGAGCTGAATGTGCGTGCAATACGTACTAAAGGGACTATCCATTCAGAAAATATCACATTTTCACCATCATGTATGTAATATGCCTGGCCACTCTGTTAAAGAAGCAGAGAAAAACAATTAAAACAACACTAAACACAGGATCACATTTTCTTTCTTTCTCACACCTACCCATCTTGATTTTGTGGACTATATACCAGCAGTGAATGTACACAGATCAGATCAGCAAACTACCATCACTGGACTTTACTGTGATTGCAAACATGTCTCATACTTTTGGGTAGACCCATGGTGGTAGTAGAGCTAATCATGATTAATGATGTAAATAAGAGTAATGTAGATCATGCAACGTAGATCAGAGCTTGATTTCACTAGGTAGTAACCCAACTGTTAGAGCATTAAGTTCTTTGTGATGTGCAGGAGCCAGAATTATCTTCATGAATCCCACAGAAGTGGCAACAAAAAATCAAAATTTAAACCTATTAGAGAGTTAAAACTACTGGGACACAATGTTTATATTGTTTACTTACAGCTATATATCCCTTCTCAGAGGTGAGAGCCTCAGCAGCTAGTAAGTGAGCTTGTACTAGATTTCCTATGTGAACCCAGTTCATCTGAACTTTGTGATTCCCAAACTTGAAATTAAATAGTCTCCGCTGGATATTTACCTGTAGAAACAGAAAACACACAGTAATTGCTTTATTCCTTTATTATGCAGTGTAACACATTCATTTTGGCTCAGCCTGAATACTTAGAATTTGCTGTATTTGTGTACAATTACAGAACAAGAAATGCATCACAGGGCTAAAAAACAACCAGGTGGTAGTTTTATAAATTAAGGACTGTTGCACTGGTATGCAGTGGTAAAACACTGTGACATTACAGTGTTTGGCTGCAACTAAAGTGCATATTTAAATGACATTACTTCCATTAAATGACCAGGGATGCAAGTTCTACCATGTCATGTCAGCCTAGCATTTTTTTCTTTTCACTTAAAAGTACTACTTGATCCTTGACATTTCTGCAATGCTTGTATCATGATATTTGTTATCTTGCATCAAATGACCTGTCACCAAGCTTTAGTAAAAACTACATTCAAGGTACTTCCACTTATGCTATGCCCTTACAACCAGTTGCAATGTCCTCCAGAGATGACTACTTAACACATACGGCTACTCGCGGCAGATGGCGCTGCTCGTCTGGTCCATATATGCCTGGTGGACGAAGCACACAAGTATGGAGCTTATCCCCTCCTTGGAGAGAGAACAAAACACGATTTTCAGACAGCTTTAACATCAACATGTGGCTGACATATATTGTCTGAGTTTTACATTATGAAGAAAAGGACCAGTCTGACCATTCTATGTGATTTGGCTTCCTAGTAACTTGTTTTCATTTCTGTATAAAATTGAATGCAACAGTAGTGAAAGACCCTAGTTTAGCAGCCTGAAAACCTTATCTCTCTGATCACAAATGGACAGGGACAGGACAAATCAAAACTTCCTTCATCTATGCCTTCTGCTTGATTGACTTTTGCTATTTATTGTAGATACAGTTTATAATGTACATATTTATCCATCATTGTAAATACATGCAAAACTAGAAGGTAATTCAAATTGCTTTATTTGGAAACCTTGCTTGCTTGCAGCTCAATGGCATCACAAAGGAATGGAAGACGTTTCTTAAACAGAGGCTTTCAAATGAGTTAGAATATTTTAACTCAAAATGAATACTTTAAGCTTTAAATGTGAATCACTAAGCAGACTCCTCTGACTCCTGAGAACAGGCACAATTACATCTTTTATGTGGGCAAGAGGTGGCAGGATTTGCTCAGTAGTTAATCAAGGATGCTAAAATTGAAACCCCACTTCATTTTGTAATGTCAACTTTTCAGTTCAAGCAAATCAGTAGGAATAGCAAAATATTTTTATCTTTGTAAAAGCAAAGATAAAAATAGTTTCCTTGCCATGTACAGATAGATTTTTAGCCTCAGCTCTTCATATGCATGTCTGACTTTAGAAGCTGACATAACCCTGATATTGCTGATCTGTTTAAGAAACTGCAGCTATTCTTACCAGACACCTAGAAGCCTTTGGGGATTATGAGAGTGACCTATTGGATAGTGCTTAGAGTTTGGTATTATCAGAGAAGGCTGAAATAATAGACTGAATGGGAAATAAACACACAATTCCTGGATCTACTGTAAAACTGGTTAACTTTTAAGGTGATTCAAAGAAGTAAGGGTAAATTTTCTGAATTCTCCCATTTATTGTTTGAATATAATCTCTTATCTGTCTAGGTATACACATTAAAAAAATTAATCACTCACCAAAGGGAGGAGTAGAAACAAACAAAATAAATCCTTATTTCAGTTAAAGTATACTATTTATTGATAAATGAGCATCCAGAGAATGGAATACCCATTAGCGCTACTAACAGTAGGAAAAACCCAAATGTTTTATATGTACCTTTGAGTAAAGTTCCATTAGCAGCAAGAACCATTTGGTCTGCAATTGCCTTTGTTCTAGAATAATGATTAAATTGCTATAAAGAAAGGCAGAATATGATCAACATTTTAATCAGATTATTGCACCTGTAAAGGTAAAGTTACTGTTTATGTCAGATACCATTTAAATCTAGCCAGCTTGTAGAAATCAGCTTAGTAAAACCAAACTAGAAATAACAAGAAGATATAGCAGATACATACTTTTTTAATGAGAAAGAAACTTATCTGACTTACATACACAAATTTAGCTTCAGAGTGAATTTAAATCCACTAGTATTTACTTAACTCGCTTTTTGTGCTGGATATACTGAAAAAAAAAATAATATAAAGCTAAATGTTCTGGTGGGTCGGGTAATTTAATTTTGAAAAAAAATCTATTTTTAGCTGGGAAAAGTTTTTTAAAACAGTAAATTAAATCTGAAATTAAAAATTCAGACTTTCCTAAAAATGCTTCCATTTTGTATTGAAGCTATTTTGGAAGTTATAAATACTTCTCTCCCAGCAGCATGTTTTACCATTAACAACTGCACCCAAGTGTATTTAGACAATAGGATTCTGGACGCAGCTAGCATGTGCTGGCTTAGTGATTACATATCTACATAAGGCTATTTGTGTATCATATGTTGAATTTTGTATTGTCATACTTGACATTGAAAAATATACCTAAAAGTCCCACCATGGAAAATTACTCTCAGGTGGCTTGATCCACCTGCTTCACCTCCCTCTATGCCCCACCTCTCTTGTGTACACTATTACATGATCACCATTAGAGAGAACATACAAGCAGGGCTCAGACACATGCAACTAATTGCAAATTCCTGAAATGTTTCCTCCAAAGTCTGCTGTGCTGTGCAAGCTGTGCACAAACTGACACATACAACTAAGTGACTTTGGAGGCACCAGCAGAGTAGCAGATTCCTGGACACAGGATGTACATTCTGAAATTATAGCTTAGCAGCAGGCAGTGTGCTGGGAGCAGGAAAGAACAAATGAAAAGAGTGGCCAGAATGCATTGAGCTTCACATTTCAGCTAGAAAATATTTCCTAAATGATCATAGTAAAGAAGGAAATGTTTTTTCTGAGCAGCCCAGAAGTGACTGTAACTACTGCCTGGCCTGCAGCAAGAAAGCAAGGTTTGGGAACTTCAAAGAAGCAAAAACGTGTGTGATAAAGATGTAAAATTTGCTATTTAACAATATTCTTCAATGCAAAGGCTCACAGTTCATAATATTCATATTATGTTCATAATATTCAGTATTTACACAGCTGACGGTGCCCTGAAAGCCCTTCTTCTTCAAGTGTTCTCGATAAATGTCACATTCCACTTTTCTTAGGTATTTTATCATCTCAGATCTGTCTAGTTATAGCATATCAAAACCACAATGATTTGAGTATTTCTTCATTGATCATAGGTCTATTTTTATTACTGACAAATAATTTCACAGAACGTGATGTGATCTACAGTAAACCAGCTTCTGCTGTCAGAACATCCTTCACATATTCTATCCGTTAGAGCACAGTAAATGCCATGTCATCACATGAACAAAGTACCTTTTCCAGTGGAAAATATGGCACAGTTTCTTCATCTCCTTCTTCAATAGGATTCCCTCCAAATACCACGTTCACTGTACTGGTATATATCAGTCTAGGGATATTTCTCTGTTTGCAGACTACAATGGGAAATTGTAAATTATTTAAATAAATTATTTAAAAGAAATCATTTTAAAACAAAAATAAAGAGTGAGAAACAACACATGAACTGGCAGCTTCTCTTTTTTGAAAACAAAGATTACGTTTATAGAAGAATAATATTTTAATTTTAACCTTAGCTTATAATCTAATATGGCATTACCTTTCATTCAGCTGGAATTTTTCATCCAAATATCTGCTATGTAAGTATTACATACTGTGTTCACCAAATGTTTTATTACTTGAACTTTACTACTTAAGTTTAAGTGAATTAATATGCAAGATCAGGAAATTTTAGTATCTACAGAGCAGCCAATTCAGTTGGCTCATTTTGAAAACAATAAATTACTGTGTTGTAAATATTTGGAACAAACTACGATAATAAAATATATCACTAAATGTAAATTAACAGGTTCAAGCTCCTCCCAGATTCTTGTTTTGCTGGAAGCCTACAGAAATTTGACGTGAAATGTTTCCGTGGGTTTAGAGGTTGGGGTAAGAAGAAGGGAATGTGTGGCAACTTCTTCCCTCTAACTCATTTAGAGTTTTACTTGCCTACCACTTCACTCTAATTATTTCTGCTTTTCTTTTTTTCAGAGATAATCCATAAAAATGGGTCTAAATAAGAACTGCTTTTGACATTTTGCTTTTTTATATTTTTGTCATTTGGCTTTTGAGTAAAAAGCAAAGAGAAAGTCACTTTGCTATTTACAATACACTTGAAATATTTTCTCTGGAATTGAATATACAGAAAGAAATCTATTAACATTTTCCAGGGCAGCATTTATAAATCAGAATAAAAAGTGATCATATTTAGACCGATGATTGGAACAAATAGAAAATTTTGTATCTTAATGTGATAAAATAATAGCTAAATATACTTAGCACATCTATGGCTCCGGTTACAAAATGTTTAGAACACAACAAACAGTACAATTTTTCTCATGTTATTCTATGAGGGAAGAAGATAATACGTCTCCATTACATGGAGTAAAGAGAAAACATAATCTGTTCATGGAGGACAGTTGAAGTTGGTCTGCCAAGGAATGAAGTCCAAACCTATCCCCAGTTTAAACCGGCAGCAAATCTATGAGTTTTAATGGGACCTGCACACCTAGCTTTACATCATACTCTGAAATGAGGGAGAGAAGAGCCTCATTTTATTGCCAAATCAACACAAAACACATCCAATTAGAAGCTTTTTTAATTCACAGTTTGGTTCAGATGCAAAGAAAGAAAATCTAGGTACATACCATTGATTATTATTTTTGTGCCTCCCACATTTATGGATTCAATTTGATCTTTCTTTTGAAGCTAGAAACAGAGTTTGCATAAGATCAGTTAATTGGACAAGTCACTTTTGCAGTATGATTGTTACAATTGCCAGACCTAGAACAGCTGTGGCCTTTTTGTGATGTGTGTGTTACATTTCTGTGTCCTTCTGACATACAGTGATTTCTAGCAGTTCTCATTTTTATTGTCTTGATCAGTGCACGAATAAAGTTCAAAACGGAAAGATAAAATGCATCTGAAAGGAAATTATAATACTTCATTTTTTTTGTCACACCCCAGATAATCCATGATATAGAAACAGGAATACAGGCAGGGGTTATGCTCTCTGAAATCTTTCAAAAATTCTTGTTTCAGTGGCAATCTGTTCTGTTCCTAGAAATAAATTAGTAGTTTCATGACTTTTTTGATAACATACTCTGTGAAATCACTGTTATTTAGCTTATCTATGTTAAATTGCTGGTCTGTTTCCTCATGAGCTCAAAAGAAGAAAATTCATCCATATTATTTCTACAGCAATATTGTCAAACTTCTTCAGATTAGAGGAAAAGGATATGCCTTCATATCCAAGATGCTTTTTTCTAGAGTAGTTCATGTAGTACATTAGTTTCATGCTTTTTTTATGTACTTTTACTTTTATTGTACTTTTTTATGTACATTTTTTATGTACTTTTACTTTAAGAGTACTTTATGTACTCTACTTTTATTATGTAGGGATGATCTGACCTTTATGACTAACTTCTGTCTGACATATACATATAATTACATTCTTTGCTACATGCAGACAAATTTTTGCTTTCACAAGAATAATGAAAGAAAATGTTAGGAAAATTGTACTTGCTTGTTCTAATCCTGACATTCCACATGCAGCCACATGAAAAACACAGTCAACCCCTTCACATGCTGTGAACACTGCATCATAATCCCTCACATCACCCTGTAAAATGAGAAAAGAATGGATTTTTGACTGGTAGAGTCCATTACATTCTCTATAGAATTAGTATTAACTGTGGCTATCAAGGAAAATTTAAAATAATTCTGATCTATTTTTCACAATACTTAACTAGACTTAAATAAAACATTATAAACTTGGAGAAAAATCCATGACTAAGAATTCTGTCAGTTTTTTGTTGCAAAACAAATATGACTCTTGTTGACTTCAATTATAACGCGTATTTTCACACTTAGTCCTGCATCCTACAGGCTGAGAAAACTTGTTTGACTTGAATGGGAGCAGCATATGCTTGAGGGCTGGAGAATCAAGCCTCAAGGACAAAATACCACAGCAGGATTTGGTGGCTCAGCTGTTTGCCAAATGAAAGAACCCCTTTTCTGTTAGCACCTTAAGGTCTAACTTGTGCAATCTGGAAAAATGGCTCTGCTGATTTAAGCTTTATTTTAGGTGCACTGAATGATAAATTTAATTACAGTTTTGTACAAGATTAAAACAAAAAAATGCACACTATGCATCTAATATTGCATTAGTATACATTAGTGTATTATAATCATGTTATTTGAAATGCTATATGCTAGTGAACACTGTACTGTATTAAATACACACACTATATCTAGTATCAAGTGTTATGCTATGGTTAGGATATTGTATTACATTTTTGTATACCAGGTAATACTATAATAATCCACATACATACAGATATGAGTAAAATACAATATATTTGTTTGCAGAATTGTGATACTTCTGAGTATCAGATATTCTTTATTGTACTGTAATGAAATTGAAAGAGTAATCACAAAAGAAATGGCTGGAGGTAATTTTAAGAGGTAACCTAATCAGTCTTTAACTCTCAACATTTTTCTTCAGAGGTTGCCAAAGAATTTCACAAAAATGGTTGACTTACACCCTTCCAACTTCAATCAAATGCTAAAATAGCTAACCAGTATAAACAATATTAGCAATCTTTGAATCACTGTTGAAGATCTCTGAAGTGACTTGTTATTTACCAGGAGTGCATAGTTCCATTTCCTAGGTAATTCACCTATACTTCCTAATATCTATTATTATAAAATATTCTCTTAAAAATTGAATTTAAAATCCTCAAAACTGTTGTTCTCCTTTACAAGATGTAAACTGCCATCAATTCATCAACTTAAATCAAATTGTGTAGATGCAGATAAATATAACAACCTCTTTTTGTTTCTGCTGAACTGACTCATTTCACCTGATGGCTCTTCCTTCTTATACTGGAAAGGACAGTGAACAGTCAATACATACCTGTCTCAGTGTCACTCACAGTTTGCAGACCTCTCTATTCCCAAGTCTTTTTCCTAGCCTGGAAAGTCTGTTTCCTCAATCATTCTCTGCACAGCAGTCATTCTAAACTTGTGATCACTTTTATTGCCCTGTCTTGCTGTCACCTTTTGACTCTAAATAATCTCCCTGAGTAGTAAATTTCTTTACCTACGTGAGTTATGTGTTGAATGGCACCTCCCACTGGTGGGAGGACTCTCGAACTTCACTGGTGACACAGAACTGACCACCTTGACTCTGCTGTCTCTTACGCACATGAGGAACTTTTACCATGACTTCTTATTGTCCTTAAAGGCTTTTCAGTAAATGCTTTTATCAAAAATCCGTAAGAGGAAGCCTTGCTAATGTGCATAAAAGTAGTAGAACTTAATTCACTGCTGTTAAGTATGTAATTGCAACATACCTTGAAAAAATCTGCTCCCTTTGGGATTTCCCATTTAGGTTTCTGTACGTCAAACAGAACAACAGCAATTCCTGACCTAACAAGAGCACATCCCAGATTGTATCCCAGGTAGCCTCCACCTCCTGTCACCATTGTTTTTCTGCTTTTGTTAACCAGTAGTCCAGCATGCTCATTTAGGTTGCTCTCACATGGTCGGCTGCTGTGGAGCTCTTCTGTGGATCCTTCTTGCATCACGACTGCAAGACAGAAGATCTCCTGAAAATCCTGCTAATACTTTTAAGATCTAGGTAATTTCAGTAACTTTCATGTTGCAATGTTACATGTTACTCCTTTCTTGACTATATTTATTTATATATTTTTATTATCTTAACATGTTTAAAATGTATAATGATTTTGGTGACAGATTTTCTACTTACAATGACTGATGAACCTGAATGCTTTTATATTCCAAGACCTAGTCTTTTCCTCATACTCACAAATTTCATATTATATAGAAAAAAAAAAGAGAAATTGCAGGATTTTGAAGATGTTATATTACCTAACCTTAACAGGTACAATTACCTTTTTGAATGCTTGGTATATCAAACATTTTATCCTTGAAAACTCATGACTTTTGATCTATTCATGCCAAAGAGAGATTAGCCTACTAGTCAGGGGAAAAAAATAGATCAGGAATATATGAAAGGATTCATTCTGCTTTTTAAATACACTTTATTTCGCATTTGGGTCACAGTTACCATTTTAAACCTTTCTGGTTAGTCTTCTGCCCAGTTCTTATTAACCTTTGTCCATATTCTTCTCATTGGAGCACTCATATACAGCTGTACTGACAAGGAACAGAAGCCCTCTGCCCTGGGGGTTCATCTACTTGGGGAAACTGATTATAATATAATTCTGTGATAAGCCATTCGACAGGAGTTACCCATCTGTATACTTTGTTCTGTATTAAAAATGAATTTTTTCTACAGTAATCACTTCAGAAATTCACTCATATTCTGCATTTAATGTGACTGGTATTTCAGATCACAATATACTCCTAGAAATTAGCCCAGCATATTTTCCCCCAAAGGCAGCCTCTCTGTCTGATAACTTGTACAGCCTTTGTATGTTAGGATCTAGGTTCTTAGGTCCCCAGACAGAAATCCAGAATAAATAAATCTGAAATCTGTTAAATTAAGCCACTTTAAAGTGGGAGCCAAACTGGGTGCCTGCCAGTCTAATATAGGAATATAAACCCAATTTTGCCAGATTATTATGGTTTTCTCATAGTTGGAGTGGGTCCTTATAGCAACATCCCCACACATGAGAGTACACCATTTTTCACCAGCTGGACTGCTTAGCTTAGGTATATAAGCATAGTTAGCTCTCAGTCTTTTATACCAGTCTTCAAAAGAGATTATGCAAAAACTGGTAACTGGTAGCTGCATCACTTCCAGGGTGATTTAAAAATACTGGAAAAGCAACAGAAAATGCAGCCTACAGTACACAAGATTGCAGACTGGTTTTGCCGTTGCTTAGTTACGGTTTTGTTTTTTTTTTTATATAGTTTAGTTTGTGATATATTTCTTATTTTACACATTTTTTAGCTTTCAGACACAAGGAAGTAAGTACCAGATCCTCCAGACTGTGAGGCAGTTTTAACACCAATGTCAGCTCACTACATTCAGTGAGCTGAATGGCATAACATGGTGGAAAAGATATGAGCTCCTTATGTTGAAAAACATCCTGACATTTCAAAAGTGAAAAGTAATCCACATTTCCAAACAAAATTTAAACTAGAAATAACATAATAAAACTAAAACAAGTAAGCTTTCTTGTTCAGTCAATGAAATTTAAACTGGCATCTCTGGATTATGCTGCACAGTAGTTAAGACATGTAAAATATTTTGCCTTGTTTTCTGTGAAAATGCACGGTTTTATATACTAAGGTCAAGCTTGTGACACACATCATAAAAAGATGTATCTGAAAATGGCATATATTTGAATACTTATTAATATCTCCTTAAATTTTAAGTAAGATGGAAGTTGTATTAAAAAGTTTAAAGATTTTACCAGAAATGTCCTTCTTAAAAAGCACTAATAGCATCAATATACTAATCTGCTTCATGGAATTTGAAAATTATAATCAAATTTTGAATGTAAATAATTTACTGTAAGAAAATACTTATTTCCAGAATCACTAACTTCCTTGTTTCTCTAAATTTATGGAGCTATTCTGATTTATTAATGTATTCTGCATGATGAGCATAGTTACACAGTGCATGCTGTGTGTGTTGCTCTTAGCTCCCCTACTGTCATTTCAAATATAAGATACGCACAAGTTACTTCCATAAAGAGTTAGACTCAAACATTTCAGGTTTTTAAAAACAGCTAAAGAAGTAGGTAAGTACCCTTCGTAGAATCCTGGATGTCAGCGTTCTCCCAGTCCTTCCTGTCCAAGTATGATGGTGAGATTTCTCTTTCCTGGACAATTAGTAACACAAGGACATCCAGTACTCTCAGACAAACAGAAATGTTCACGTGTGCTCAGGCCCTTTTGCTGTTCCTGCTCCTTTGTAGTTGGTGGCTGGGCTGGGAGCCAAAAGAGGGCAGGGCTTAATGTGTATATAATTTATGCTCCTTTTCAGGAAAAAGGAAATGTTTTCTCCACATGAGACCCTTCTAAGTAGGATGGTATCTCTTACCTTGTAGAAGTATTGATAAGATGCTAGACAACACAAATATACTATTGGTGCCATCATTCTGTAGATATGTTGTACTAGATTACTGAAACATCTCACACTGTTTTTACAAAGCACAGAGAAAAGGGTTCTTAACTAAAGAAAACAGGAAAGAAATTCTTAACACTAATGCTTAAAAGTAAACCTCTCTCACAGTTGTGTGAATCTTTGGTGAGATACATCTCATCTAAGAGCACAGTCTCCTTTTACCTGCAGTTTTCAATCTAAATTTGAATAAAGAGAAGAAACATAAAATCTTGTTCGGCAGTGGCACTTAGCACTTTCACCCTGAGTTTTCTATCTTCATCCCCAACCCAATTATGTATTTGCAAAGAGACTTAACTGTAGGTACAAGAGCTGTTCTCTGGCTTCCAAGATTGATGAAGTGAATGCAGCAAACTAACTGGTGCACAACAGAACAGGAAAAGGTGATGTACTATTAAATAATGCATTTAAAATTAATAATGAATTAAATGATTAATAATTATAGAAGTTCTGTAATCCTAAGATGTTTAAAACACATATCCTTTTGCAAATTAAACAATGAGAAATCAAAGCCAACTTTATAAAGTGGGTGTGTCTAAAATTAGGTCTCAAAGCAGTAGTTAAGATGCTAAAGAAACACTCCCAAATCTAAGTGACTACAATTTTAAGTGTTCGCATGTTAGAAATATCTCAAGTTCACAGGTGACTTTGACATTTAAATGTAATTTAATGTTCATGTGCTGATGACAAGAACTCAAGCTGACACTTAGGCAAATATATATTAGCATAACATGTTATGTATTTAAGTTCCTGTAGTCTGCATTAGGACTAGAACCTTTGAACCTGTCAAGTTAATTCTCAGATTGCCAGGTAAGTGAAAACCCAGCTGAATAAAACCCCAAGAATACCAAATTCTCTGTTACGAGCTGTCCACAGCACTGATAGATTTTACTATTGAATCGGAGAAAGAAAGTAGCTGTTCTGTCTCTGGACTACTACAGAAGTCCCGCACAAGTCAAAGCTGTTGGCAGCTTATTCATAGCATATCGATACCTCACTGCTCAGTGAAAATCAGCAAAGAGCATTTTAAGTTGGCTTTAGGTTCCACCTTAGCCAAGAGGAAACACCTCAGAAGAGCTTTCAGAACTGGTATTTTGTACCTCTCCTGTTACACTTATTCTCCTATCTTTAATGAAGGAGAGAGGTAGCCTTATGTCATTCGCTGTATCCTGCTAAGTCCATTTGAAAGAAACAGAAGCTGAAGTTGCAAGAAAAGCTGTTAAATCAGGATTTAAACTTGCTTTTGGTCTTGAATCACTCTATACAGCCCTTTTCTACTTTTTCTTCTAAAATCACTCAGCTCATGTAGGTACACCAAAATAAAATATCCAGTGCTTCTAGGAGATGACTGCATAAAATACAACAGGAAGGTGTCAGCGAGTTTACTTCTTTATTTCATGGAGAAGGCCCACATTTCTGAAATGTTATGTCAGCTTATCAAAATGTTACTCATATCCAGACTGTAAAGCCATGTTGAAATGTCATTGCACTGTTTCACAGAGGAACCTAGTAAGCTTACATGAGTTAGTTTGAAATCACAAGCTGATAGATGCACTGATAAATCTGAATTGAGTAAGAAGAACTTGGCATAAAAAAGAGAAGACACTACCTGTTCTCCGGCATACAAAGGAAAAGACTCATTCCTATGCTAATTCTATGGGCTCCAGTGCTGGGTACTGGACCACAGTGAGGAGGTCCAGACCATGACCAAGAAGACACATGTGTGGAGACTGGGTCTTTGGCCCTTTCATTCAGCATGTCCCATTAACTTCATAGGTGTGCATTTCAGGTCACAGAACAGGAGCAATATTCCAGCTGTGAGGTAATGCAAACCTGGATGAGGGGTTTTAATTCTGTGGAAGACACTATTCAGAAAGAAGCCTTAACCAAAGCATGAAAAGCTAGCCAGAGGTCCGAGTTAAAATGACAGCCGGATGTTTGGCATGAGTCATAGGCAGGATGGGATGTTCTACAGTGCCCAAGGGCATAAGAACAGCAGAAAAGCTTAAGAGACTAAGCTCTCTTTTAAAGCTATCTCAAAGATAGGATTTTGCTGAAATAAGTGTAGCATAAAAATATCATCTCTCTTATTAAAAATTCTATATCCAAGCTGTAAATTAGTAGAGTTGTTTAAGCTCATCATGTGTTTGTAGATCTCCTTATGCACTTGTTCACATCCAGATGCCCAATCATATGTACTGATGCAACCGTATGAACTCATAGTGGTGAGACTTGTTTGGATAGCATACCAGAGAGCTGATGCTCTCTGCAACCCCAAAGAAGTCTGAACATATCTGTTGTAGGGTGTAAGTACTTTTGACTAAAAGTATTTAGCTCTTTGTGACTACAAAAACAATCATCCTCCTAACAAGGACTGAGTCTAAACCAGAGAGCTGAGAGACCTGAAGTCACAATAGTAAGATATTCACATTTTAAGTAAGAGATGACAGAAAATGTTAAAAAGCATTTAA